TTTTTTTTCTGTTATATTTTGTTCTTGTTATCCAAATGAGCTTTCAGTCTTATGAAGTCTTCTCAAAAACTTAACCAAACATAAAGCATTACTCCATCAGTTGTTATTGAGCTGATTTCTTTTCAACCCAGAGGCAATTGCTCACTCAGAGCAATAGAAAAGAAGTAAAAAAACCCTAGTCAATGGCATCCTGGTATCAATAATAAGAGGCTTCTCAAATCCAATGTGCACTTGCAAAGTAAAGTTAAATATTCTCCAAGTAATATGTCCAATTTTCAGAATATATATTGCACCATAAGGCTTCCTTCAAAAGTTGATTCAAAATGGGAGAATATTTTGCTGCCATTACAGAAAAAAGGGCAGAATTGTTTGTTCATTATAATATCACACTAAAAAAGAGTCAGTTTTTAACAGCTATTTATAGTTCCCCACACATTGCAAAAAATATCTCACAGCATGATAAAAAAAAAGCCTCCAATTCGCTTGAAAATATTTTCTTGGACATCATCTGTTCCTTGAAGCTCAAAAGTTTCCTCTTGTCTGGCTTTAAAAACCCTGTTCCCTTCTTGAAACAGAAATTGTCACTGGTAAAACACCCAAAGGCATGCACATTTCCTAACTATCTGGAGACTACTGTTTACTATTTTTGCAAAATCATGCCAAATATCCTTTGATGATAAATTCAGGAGATATTCTAAATTCTCTACAGGATTGAGCTGGATATTTCACTTTTAATTGACACATTGATTATAAAAACACCCTCAAACATTCATATCATAAACAGTTATTAAGAAAGAAAACGGATGTAATTAGGCTAAATTGATAACAGTAACTGATAAAAAAAGAAAATGATACTTGTTTGTTTCATTTCTCAGTACATTTACAAGCCTACTTTTATGTTCCAAAGTAATCTTTAAAGAGCCATGCTTGATTTCAATCTGTAAGCCTCCCACTTTTTCCACATTTGTAACAGAAAAATTCCAAAAGCTGATCATTTCAGGCAATATAACAAAACATGTGTTTTTAACATCAAATACAAGAAATTCACATTGAAAATATGAACACACGCAGATAACCAAAGTGTCAAGCTTCAAACAATTTTCAAATTATGACAAGCCTGCTCCCTACTGTGCACAGAGGCCTTGTATTTGGTGCAGTGACATACACGAACATTCATGTAAAAAACACAAAGTACAAGTTTATTACAGACTTTTTTAAAAAAGTAAGTCTGCTTGCTGCTTAAAAAATGCACTATACCATTGTGATAACTTTTATAAGAGTAACATTGCCTAAAACCAAATCTGATCACTAAATATGTATTTCAATAAATTTTGAGGCATCTTGATTAAATTATGTTGTTTGCACCAATATTTTGAGCTAATGAGACTTTATACCTAAAAAAAAAATCTATAGCACAGCTCTTAGGTTACAAAGATGTTCAGTCTTCAGTGTCTGACAAGCCACAAAGTTGTGAATCCATACGAATGAAATATGAAATTCCCAAACATGAAATTTGAAAATTATATCATGTGAACCTCATATATCTTAAACAATCTGATAACCAGATTTTGACTGTAATGGATCACATATACAATTTGTCTAGATTAAAGATCAGTCTAAAAATAATGTGCTAGTTATGTGATCACAACAAATGATAAAGGTTGTACAAATAGAAATTTTCTTAGTGAACAATAACAGTGTCATTGGGAGGCAATGAATGTATTCTGATGAAGATTAAATATATTATGCAAATTTCACATTTTGTAAACAATATCCTTGAATGGAAAAACAAATGAAAGATTGCCTCTAAATGCATAATTCTTATACAAGATAACTTGAAAATGTAAAATATCAATGAAAAACAGAAAGCTTTCTAGTAAACAGATCTCACAAAGCACAAAGACATGACAAAATTTAGGAATAGAGGATAAACATTTTATGTAAATTATCTATAGAAGGTAAGGTTAATTTCCAATGTACACTTCTACTATAAATGATTACACACTGAAATCTATCTTGCAAAACAACTCTTTCGAATGGGAGTCAATCTAGAGTTTTATCCAACATAGGTGAGCAAGCAGTGTTTTAAAGACACAAACATACAGCTGAACTGCCATGTTTTAAACAAAAACACAGGAAATGGATGTTCATTTGTATGCTGTGAACTTAAAATATTCCAAAATGTAGTTTATTATTGGCAAACATTCTCTCTATTAAGAGCCATCCACATGTACCTGTATATCACAAAATCTTAAGGATGAATAAAAAACGATGTATTAACTAAACTATATTGGAGGCACGTAGTGTATCATGACAGTTATTTCATCCTTCATGAAAACACAATTCACTGTTACCTGCTAAAACTGAATGATGCTCTAGTCACAACTCTTGCTTCACTAGCCATGATGTATGAGAAATTATTCACTCTGGCTGTTTGATTTAAACAGCAAAAAGACAGAGAAAACAGGCAGATAGCTGGATTCTATATTTACCCCTTATCCACCCCTACTTGTAACGTAATAACTTTGTTTCTCGAATAACATACAAAAACAACACATGCCATATATGGAAAACCCTCATCAGCAATCAATTAGGCATCAATTTCACAGAGACTTGCAAAAGGTCAAATATTCTGCTCTTAACAAGCAAAAATTAATTTCCATGACCTACAGTTGAGAGATTGGTTTCAACACCAGGAAAAAAGGAAGGTTAAAAAATAAAAATTTATTCCAGCAGATGTAAATGATAAAACATACAATACATATCAAATTAAAACAGTAGATTACAGACGAGAGACAGAAGGTTGTCAAAATCTGTTTAACTTATACCAGAATCATTCGATCCAATTTAAAAAGTATATCAGACACAACTTTAACGTGCCTCTGGATCATCTCTTTTTAAATGCAGACACAATTTAACATCATCTGTTTAAAAATTTATCATGTAATCTCACTTGTGAGTCAAAAATATACTTGTCTAGCAATTGCCAGAGTGCTTTCAGCTTACCAAAAAAAAAACAATGACTAATAATAATCATCACCAAATGGTTTTTTTAAGATCATTAAAATTTTCAAATATCTTCAGCTACTTTCTTCAAGACTCTAGATTACATAAAATATTGCTTCATTTGTAAGAGAAGATTAAAGTTATCCTAGGAAGAAAGGCAGAGGTCCCCTAATAAATTATTTGTAATATCTTCAAATGATAAGAAAAGTACGAAAACACAATATTATTGTAAAATAAATCACCCATAAATCATTCACACATCTTCACTTTGAATTGAAAATAAGGCTTACAATTAAAAAAGGATTAAACTTAGATGCTTCATAACGCATACAATCATACATTTTTTACCATATGATAAATAAAACCTTAGTAAAATCCTTCCTTTTGAACTCATGTAAATTTTTGAAAAAGCAAATTATGTAAATTAAGTTTCATTTTGATTTTTGAATCGCTAAAATATATAGCTTACCCATTTGATTTCAAAAATATGAGTTTTAAAACCAATTTCTTCCAACCAAGCAATATTAATTGAGCAATAATTTTTATCTTGCTAATGATCAAAATGGAAACAAAGGGAAAAATTAACTGAAAATTTTTGTCTGTAATTAAAAGCCAAAAATACATTGGAAAGAGAAAATATCATATTGAAAGACAAGACTGAATAAATAAAACCTCTATTGTATCTTTTTCTCTTGCAAAAGAAGAATTTTTGTTTTCTTTGACCCTAAAAAACCCCTAAAAGCACCTTACATATAATTTCTCTTTACAATATCACCTCTGAATAACACATCAAGGTCGTGAGAACCAACTACAGAAGCTTGTGATTGTTAAACAAATTCTCCTTGTCTGCACCATAGGAAATGTTTTGAGAACAGTATGGAGAATCTGCATGCTGATGCTATGAAATGTGTTATTGAATTAGAGGAACTTTGGAAAAATTCAAACCATGACAAATCTATTTCATCTTCCATGTTTCAACTGATAAGTTTACACAAATAAGAAAAAATAAATTTTAATTACAAAGATAGTCAAGGTGCAATATGTAGTTCTGCGTCATAACTTACCTACAAAGGATCATTTTTAACATAGATCCAGTCTTTTTAATACTATTCAGAGCATCACTGTGTGTCCACTCTTCACAGTTTGCATTATTGATAGAGCGCACTAATAATCCCTCCACAATTCCAGCCACGTCAGCTTTACTGTTTGGTGTCACCTGTAAATGGATTAATTAACAAATATTATTTCTGCCCCATATCTTCTGTGTGCCCAAGATCTGATTTTAATTCTTGCCTCCAGTTTCTATACATTTCCTTGTGATTTGATGAGGAGAATTGGATAGCATATCAAAGACAAAACCCTTGTCTGATATGCTTGTCTATTCTCACCAGCTAAATGCAGGAAATTGAATAAAAGTTAAGAAGATAATTTAAATATTCATCACTTTTGAGATTGAAAAAAAATCCTAAAATCTTAAAAAGGCATTCATAAAATAAACTTGAATTTCCATAACTTGATATCTAAATAAAATTCTGTATAGTTCAATCTGAAGGAAAATTTACCTTAAGGTACAACAGCTGACGAGCAGTAAAAAACTAAAGCATTTTAAATAATCTTCTCATAAATATTAAAATACTCTAAAAATATGTCTACAGTTGTAACTTGACATCTAAATAAAATTCAATGCGGTTCCATCTGTGAGAAAAGAAACTTTAATATGCAACTGCTGATGAGCAATAAAAGGCTGAATCTTTTATTTTGCTTATTATTTTCTTCTAAATATTTCAACATTCTTGAAGCATAAGTCTGCTGCCACATGCAACTTCCAAATAGTGGGAAAAAGGGGAAAAAATTAATTTCGGATTTAATTAACTAAGAGAATTATTTTTTCTGAGCAAGAGATGAATTTTAATTAGTGAACTGGGTAATCGATGTTTGAAATGAAATCCATCAGATACAAATTTATCAACAAATATATTTGGGAACCAAATCATAGCTTAAGTGTAAACATATCTTGAATGATTGAGGCCGGATAAGCTGTCTCGGATTTTATATTATGTGTGGGATGATCCCGTTTGCCACAATAATAAAACATGCCACAACAATGTTATTCATCGGTTCAAGAAAACACTAAGATTTGCGCGGGCACTAGCTTGCGAATAAAATTGTCCTAAACTTTTCCAATAAGACTGCCGTTGACGGATGCCCCTTTGAGCATGTCATAATTTAATTACCTTAGGATTACTAAATTGTCTGCAACGAAATGGAATTCTAGTGTTAAACTTCCAATCAAAGTTGTCGCTCCACCATCAAACCGCAGATTAAACTGTGTTGATAGTAGATTACTGCCTGAGGCATCATTTCAGATGCGTTTCGAAATCGTTGGAAACCGGGCTGTTTATTGTATATTGTTCCTCCCATAAAAATTAATCTAAGTCTTTCTAGCAAAAAGCTTATTGAAATTCCTATGCGTAACATGAATTGTGCTTTTGAAACAAACTCTGTTCCACGCGCAACAATTCGAGTTAAGCATAATTCGATTTGTTCTTTGCGGCAAGAGCTTAAAATAGAATTCTCGTTTAAAACAACATTTAAAAAATATTACGATAATTTACGGCGTTCAGATTGTTGTATACCTCAGAGAAAAATTTCTTGAATAAATAATAGAACTTGATATTACGAAGATTATTGATCACCGACGCAAAACCCACGCAAACCATAACGCTATTCATGAAACCAGCACGAAATCAACAAATAAAAAAAATTATTAATTCCACAAGGAATAATTCAAATCAATTTATAAAAACCATAGATTTTGAAAGGTATACGTTGCTTGTTTGGTTGTAACACTTCTCTCATCACCAGAAGACGATGACATATCTGTGCAGTTATGCACCAAATGTAATTACGCTGAAAACGTTTCAAGTCCTTTAAAATGTGGCGGTCAAACGCGAATCAGATAAAACCGAACTAATTGCTGCTCTAAGCAACGGCAATTGAGACTGCTAAACTTGAGGAGAAGTATACAAGGCGCTTTTATCCGGAATATATGATTACAGTGTTGATAAAATTTCAGCGAAGGCTGTGATCATATCTGTCAAATCCCAGTCAAGGTGTATCGAATATCTCTTACAACTTTGAAATTTGCGAATTACCAAACATAGCTAGCGCGCTGTTTGCGAGATTCTTATGAATAACTACGCAAACGTCTTTAATTCTGGAGCTGTAGTTGAACGATTTATCTGGCATTTCAAAGAAAATATTGCGCCACGAATAAGTAGCCAACCTGAGTAAATACGTCTAGTTTATGTTTCAACTCCGATATAAACGGACGCAGTTTTGTGTTAAACCACTTGAGGTTGCAGCCAAACTCACTTAAATGCCCGTTTAATTAAAATGACATGCAAAACTTGCAGGCATTTCATAACAACTAACCTTTGCAATTCTTAAAGGTGCTCGAAATTCCTTGCCTCCTTGCAATCGAAAACCCCAAGGAGCTCCGCCGCTCAGCACAACTTCGTAAACTTCAGAGGACGCCATTATCGAGCGAATAGCAACAACGATTACCCATGAATCCCTCCGCCTATACCAGCTTGACTAGTGAAGGTCAGAAGACCCTTACCATATATGGAAAGTTCGCGCTTGTTCTCAAGTCCACTAAATGATAGTTTCCAGAAAACTTGTGTTAAAAAGTTCCCCAATTTGATTACCTAATGTGATAAGACCAAGGAACATTGATAACTCATTTATCATAGACTCATTTATCAAACTGTAAGTCCAATATTGCTCTAACACATCTGATTTACGCAATCGCGCCCTAACCCATTCAATTGCATGGTGCACATTGCGTAAACCAGAAACCCATAAATATATATATATTGAAGCTGTCTTAGCTGTCTTGAAAAAGGCCACCAATGATCGATTGGACAAATATAGTCTTAATCGGGTAAATTACATCCCGGAAAAAATGAGATTTGATGTGATGAAAAATGTCCCCAACATTATGTAAGTCTTCTTAAATTTGCAACACACGTGTCAAAGTTGTCAATACCTTTTGGAAATTTTTTTGTTAAATCCTCTTAAATGAATCAGAGATAAAGTAGGTTGTTGAGACGAGATTTGCATACACTACACTTGTCATATATTACGCAAAATATTAAGCTCCACAATGAAGATAAATTGATATTCCTAAAGAAACTGGTTTATTACGGTTGAGTACCTATGACCGACTTTTAGAAGTTTTCTTTCATCGCGAGATTTCTCTCTCAGATGATGATAACCCGCATCAAAACCATGCAACTGGGAAATATAAAAAGGCTGGAAGGATTACATGCCCGAAACACAATACTAAAATAACTTAAAGCCGATTTAAACACAATTTTGTTTTATCTTTTTAACCCTGGAAATCTTAAAACTTGATGTGAGAAGTCTTTGACAGAAGTTAAATAGGGAATGCGCGAAACTGAAAAAACTGAAAGAAAACTGTAAGAAGAAACCGCTCTACGTTTTTTTTGTTTTGTTTTGTTTTGTTTTTTTTTATCATTCCTGACTATTTACTTCAGTATTTTTTTCTGCGCGAGAAAAGAGATAAACTGGTCGCGTGATGAGCCGCTTGTCTCGCGTGAAGGCCTCGTGCTCCCTGGTCCTCTCTTCGCGTGCGAGTTAATGCGTGCGAGACAATGAACGAAAAGAGCATTGCTGCTTTTTAGAATTAGCCCATATGAGAAACGATTCTCCACACTCGTGTGCATTGATTTTATTTTTTAACCTAATCGAAGGTGAACAAGAGTAAACTGCTATATTTTGTGTAGTTTAAAATTAAGAGATTGAAAGTGCGAATGCACAAGATGAACTAGCCTACGAGAAACACAGCGGTCAAAAGTAAGGCATGCGCAAGAGGACCAATTTCAGCTGTTCGCGCTTCAATTTCCCATCCAAAATTCCAACTGAGAATTTAAGAAACAATTGTTCTCACAGAGTGATCAAAGAAAATTGATATGTGTAACAGAAAAGAAATATGTCAAATGAAATAAAAGTTCAAAGAGAAAAACTCCAGACTTTTCGAACACAAAAACTTTACCGAGTACGGGTATCCTGTTCATTTATCAGTCTCTACTATGTTTTAGTAAAGACGGTATACTTTTATGAACCACAATGACTTCTGGCTTGTGTGGTTATTAAAAGCACGTTACTTAGACACTACAACGTTAGCACATGCGCAGACGTTTGACCGCTGTCTCCTCTTAGCTCTTATTCATGGCAGCTACGCTGCTCATAGGGCTGTTCTTCAGAGAGCTTGCTCGCAGGCTTAAGATGTACCCAAAATGTTAACCCAGTCACTTTGCTACAAGTTACAGTAAGATTTATTTCAATCTATCTTAAATTAGTGGCTGAGTACTCTCTACCCCGTCGTACAAATAAACAATTAAAATTACTTTTACAAAAATACGAATAATTTTCAACTGACCATGAAAATAATTATTATTGATTATCTTAGCAAAGAATTAGTTTCAATCTATTTTGACACAATTTAAAACGCAAGGCATTTAGCTCAACAAAAGCCAAACCTGCGTGACGAACTCTCGAAAAGGCGGGCACGCGTATTTCGCAACGGCTCCCCCGCGCGAGGAGCCACACCCATATGAACAGAAGACATAATTACCACAATTTTAAATCAAGAAGATGGCTTCAGGCTCGTTAAGTTACTGAAACTTTCAAGTAAGAGATGCCGACCCTGTCGCTGCGCTCAAATGAAGAGTTACGCCCCAACATCTGAACGCTCGTTACGCAGGCCAATAAACACTCGAGATAAAACGTTACTTAAAATTGAACCTAAAACATGTGTGCTTCATTCTAGTTTCTTGGCAACGGCCCTTTCTTTGAGATACGCTTGGTAATAAAAATTAGAAAACAGCCATATCATGGTCAGCTCATAGGCAATTCCGTACCAGCACCAGCCGTGTTGTAGATATCCCACGATCATGTGACACAGTCCAATCATGAACTGAATCAGTTGAAGTTGGGTCAGGTTCTTCTTCCAAGCGGGCCTTTGACCAGGATTGAGTGCAGATTGGCCGTAGTAGAAATACAGAAACACGTGAATGATGGCGTTCAATCCCAATGGTACAGAGATGGCCGGCCAATTGCCGTAAATGGAAGCGTATTCACTCAGCATCAAAATGGAAGAGTGGTGGTAAATCTAAGAGGAAATAAATTCAAAAAGATTATTTTTTACTTTACTACGTTCGAAAACCAAGCATCCGCTAACGAAAGGCTTCTATTTGCCCAATTCAATCATAAAAAAATACAATGAAAGATATTTACTTATCGAATTATTATTTTTTCCTCTAAGTCAAAAAAAAAGGTGGTTCCTGTATATGCTTTAGCTGACCATTGCCTCCTTCTAGGCACCCGCCCTTCCCTCCACCATGCCCCCGCCAATTTCAGCCTGCAGTTGTCTCTGAGGGGGGGCGCGGAAGCAGATGGGAAGACAGGAAAAGATGCCATCCTCCCGTCGTTCCCTTGGTAACTTTCAGTCATCACCCGTCCCCATTTCTCACGCTTTCAAAGACCGATTTAGAAGAGGAAAGAAAACGAGTCAGCCCCAGACCTCTGTAATACCGATCCACCTCACCGGTCTGTCGATCTCGCGTTGGGCAGTAAGGAGTTCGTGGGCGCGTGATGTAATAAGCCCGCCATGTTCTACTAGATTCACATTTTCAATGGTCTTTGAAACTTTTCCTAGAATCGTGTCATTTGCAGTCAAGAATTTACCGTTTCAGGTTACTTACATGAAGTAAAGAAACTTGACGCAGCCTGTGTCTAAGAATCATGAAGACTGTGTCCATGAGCTCGATGTACTTGGTCATGTAGTACACCCAAAAAGCGTGCTTTACGAGGGAATCTTCCTCACATGAAAACAAAGAACGTGGCCAATTCCTTGCCAGGGCTGCAAGGATGATGACGACTGAATAAAGGCTGAATATACTACATGCAAAATTATAAACCACCAGAACCTGGGAGATTAAGAAAGAGAAGATAAAACATAGCGATATAGCGTTTTTCACATCAATCTTGATCTTAGAAATGTCACACTACGTGCTGTTTATATGCTGCTTGGTACATCTCCGTCACAAATAAACTCGACTAGCCTACCCCTCCCTTGCTAGTGAGGTCTCTCTCCAGGCCTACGCCTCATATATATTCATCTAAAGTATGGCAAATGCGGGCTGATGTGGATCCACTAAAGGAATCTGTTAACATTATCCATACCTTACGGAGACCAAAAGGGCGAACATATCGAGTCCAAAGCGGCGAGAAAGCCACAAAAGACAGGTATACAATAACCACGGGTAGAGACTTCAGTTTCACAACACCGTTTAAGAAGTAAAGCGCGAATTCTGTAACAAACAAAAATACACATCGTTAATGTAAACAGACGAGTATAGCTTTCTTTACCTAGAGTCCTTGATCCTGTAAATAATAAAAAAGTAAAGCGACTGATCTGGCTCGCTAAATATATCTTATAAGAAGTTTTAGCGTGTGGTTTTTGCTTGGTACTTTTGCGTGCTGTGCCGTATGTTGACAAGCTTTTAGGTGAGTCAAAATACAAAAGAAAAGAGTACAAATACTCAGCGATACCACACACCAAAACGTCTAAAAAGTTATTAATTATCCAACTGCTCTATTTTATGCGCATTTCTTATAAAGCGGGAGAGGCGGAGTGGCTAGAGAAGCGTAACACACGCAACCGATCGATAAAACAGTTTTTTTTTTTTTTTTTACAGTACAATGTAACCAACTTTCCAACATCGCAGTATATCTATTTGTAATTTGTTTGCGTTTCTAAGGCGAACGGAGGCAAGCTTGTATCTATCCACTAAATTCGTTTCGTTTTAAGTCCACACCACACGTTTAAGGACTTCCTTTGCGCGCCGTAATTTGTTCCATCATTATAAGTATAGGAAATCGTATGAACGCGAGTGCATTTCGTGATTTATGGGCACGAGTGATGTTTTGAAAGTTCTCAAAATTGCACGAGCCGTAGGCGAGTGCAATTTGAGAACTTTCAAAATATCACTCGTGCCCATAAATCACGAAATGCACGAGCAGGTTCATACGATTTTTTATTTATTATATTCTCGACAAAATTACTCCATCGGTGTTTCCATGGCAACTTCTCCGTATTGCACTCTATAACCTCTATTGTACTCTATAACCTATTTATGCATTCATCATTGACCAATCAGAAACGCGATATTTTGTTGAGTATATAATAAATGCTAAAATGCCTGCATCCTGCGTGTGACAAACCGCTGCACAAAAATAGTGCGTGCGCATAACAAGTTCAAGCTACTTGTGTTTGCGCAAAATACATTCAGAAACTACTATCAGACTTCAAATGAAAAAAAACAAAGGGTGGGGGGGGGGGGGGTGTATGGTGGCCGAGAGCTGCCACTCAAAATTTTACAAAATTTTTACTGCCCGCACAGTATCATGGTAGTGGCAGCCCTCGGCCACAGCGATACTCACTTTGACTATTGTTTTGATTTGATGTTCCATTTATATTTTTATTTCGCCGTGAACTGTCCTAGGATTTCAGTTTAATTTTGAAATGATTTTACTTCGATATTGCAATTACTTCGGCTTTCAAATTGGATTGCTACTTTCAATCGTTCTTTTTCCTTTGTTTTGCAGTCACGTTCCATTTTACTTCCAGTTTTGATTTATTTTTCTTTTATTTTTTATTAAATCTTTGAAAAATTGTAAAATTTTGAGAGGCAGCGCTCGGCCACCATAGGGGTGTCAGAGTATTACAAAATCATTTCAACTGAGTTGACGTTGTACAATCTTTACGGTGACAAATTTGCATCACTAACTTACTCAGTTGGAATTATCGAAGAATAGCTAGGCCCCCGCCGGCCCCCTGATAAGCGCTGCAGGACGCGTGTTCCTCCACACGCGGGAAGATTCGAGACGAGTCGCGGAAAGGTTTGATGGAGGTCTGACACTAATAGGAAGGCCCTCACTTGACCCTTTGTATACAATCACGCCGGCTTGCGTTGCTTAATGTTAAGATCTCAATTTTTTTTCTCTGCTGACCGAGAAACGCACGTGTTGGAAAAGGTTATTATAAGGGCCTACTCGCCGGCTACCCTCCATTTATTTATCTATCAATTTACCGTTGACCATTTACCCATTTAAGCCAACAATAAATTTTAATTCCGACATTCAATCAGTTCCTTGACCTCTCGGAGGTGACCGATACTCGGCCCCTTCCCACCCCACCCCTCGCAAACTTTGTCGCCATATTTATTTCCATCGGTCAAGCGGAGTTCTCAGCCGTTAGGCTGATTACTGCGACACGCAATCGCACATCTTTTACAAAGAAACAGTACACTTGGGAAATTAATCACATTCTGTGTTGCGTATCAGCACTTTCTGGATTCATTTTGCAGATATTCTCCGAACCGGCTGTTGTGATTGATCGTAAACAATAAAACAAAACGAAACGAACATTAACACAATTTCCTTCATGTAAACACAACCCGGACATACCATTAATTATAAGTCATAAAAAACTAAAATTCAATGAAATTCAGTCGCTTTTCTGAGGAACTTCGACGAGTCCAAAGACCAATTTTAGGTCAACCATATCACTCATAATTGTCGGAAAACCTCACATGGAGGAACCCGTGCAACAACTACTTCACTTGCAGTCTGATATAATATTTTGGGGCAAAGACGGTACAAAATATTAAGTAAACGTTACCTGCTAATGTCATACCCATGGTCCGAACCTATCCCGTGCTAAAACAGCTGATAGGTACAGCAGGAAAGATCGAAGAGATTCACGCTAAATGAGGTGATCTGAGATGGGTGGTATGATCCACAGCCCGTGACTAGGGTGAAAATGCAAATTTTGACCTAAATCTTCAATCCAGTTGCCCCCTGGGTACAGCGGGAAAGAATGACCTGATTTGCATATGATCAACTCTGAGCGCGTGAATCAAAGATTACGAAATATTGTATTTGGGGATCAAATTCGAAGCCATCGTGTTCTCTGATGTTGAGCTGATGTCTCTGCTGTTTCCTTCACTCCACTTTTCGTCTAAAGTTCCTTCGGCTGTAGCTAACAATTATTATTCTCAGAGAATGTAAACGCACGCTTCGCTTCCTTAAAAAGCTTTATTGTAGTACACTAGTAAACTTTTAGACAAAACTAACGACTAGAGGCGTTAATTGGGAGAACTGTAGGTTAGCAAATCTTTCAACATTCTTCGTAGCCGCGCGGGTACGCTGGAAAATTTTGGTAACCAAATAAAATATAATGCTCTGTTGCTTGATAAAGGAAAGTCTCGATAAAAATAAAAAAAAATTTTGAAATTTTGAAGATCGCATATTTTTTTTTTGAGACGTTCTTATCTTTGTTGTAATCTCTAAGTTGTTTTTTGGGAATTTTTCCCGAGTGTGAGCTTTGAGTCTCATCAGTGTTTTTGCCCGAAGACAAAGAACAAAAATACCTTCTGCAAATGCAACAAAACAAACCATAGTCCAGTTGAAACCACATCCTCTCTCAGTGCTAAGGGCACTAATTCAGGTATCGAAAAAAAAAAGAAAAGAAAAAAAAAAGAAAGAAGAAAGACTTATGTTGTCCCACTAGACCCCTCCTGAAAACGCTACTCATGCGATGTTGCGTGACGCTAGGCGTGACGGTCTGTCAGGCCTTGTCTCCAACGGACAAGCGGTAAATGTAACACACTATTTTTACCGCTGGAGGCGAAGAAGGTTGAAGTTCCACAGTTTGAGATGGAGTCTCGGGCTGGTAGGTAACTGTTGTATTCAGCCCCTTCCATTCGCAAATAAAAAATAAGCCGAGATATATGTGTCTAGCCGCCTTTTTTTTCTTCTACATCGAAAAATCTAAATAAAAAATTAGATTTACATATAGGATTTGCACATTTCGTAAGGTCGAAGGTCTATGTTCGGTCATGTAATTTAGTAACTGGCTGTGTCAGATTAAAGATTTCCAAAGCTAAACGAGAAGATCTGACAGTGTTTCTATAAGATCAATTTAAAATTGATTCTTCTCTCTCTTTATGAGATCAGTTAGTTGTCCATTAGCCTTACAATGCCCTACTCAATGTGAAATTACTTAACCCTCTAAGATCTGATTATTAATTCTCCTCTCTGGCTGCTACACAATTACTTGTAAGATAGTTACAAGAATTTGGTGTTAGATCAAGTTAAAAACTTCTACTTGATAAGTTTGAGTATTTTGATATTTTGGGGAGAATTGCATGTTAATCACTTATGAAAGTTTTAAGGGTTAATTAGTTACCAAATGATGATAAATCCTTTGAAATGAGTGACCAAGACTGAATTTATCCTCACAAAATCAGGCAGAAAGTGATGAGAATAAAAAAAAATATCAATGAGGGGATCAATAGTTGATCCAAAGCCAAGTTTGGAGTACAGACATCCTAAGAATTGTATGTGCTGTGCTCATAAAGAATTTGACCATTATTTTCTTGCTTTGCAGAGAAGTATCTAAATTTCTTCAAGGCTGTTGTGGGATTGCGGTCATTTCCTGTGGCAATTATCTACCTGATACTTATACCATCATCTTTACTGTGGAAGAAGTACACCTCCCCTTTAGGACTACATAAGGTAAAACTATTTATGAGATGAACAAATGCCTTCTGTAATATATCATATGTAAGACCAAAGTTTTGCGCAAGACTTGGTACTTAATGTACCATTTTTAGTCCTCTCTTTAGTTTTGGCTGATTCATTTGTCAAATCAAGATGTGGCTTTTAGAAAAGTATAGAAATAAATTGTTTACTAAAGGTAAGTGAAATGAGTGGAAGCAATTTAGTCTGAACTCATATGAGTGATTTTGAAATCAAACAAGTGCACAGCTCAAGTTGGATTTGAAATTGCTAATATGATTTCTAACCAAAACTTGAACAACACAAAGTTCAATCACCACTTTATTACATGTGTTTTGAAATTGCAAAATTCAGTTGCTTAGAATTTT